CTTTGGATCTCCACTCCGCACTGCCCCCATCATTCACTATGGTGAGATTTTTTGTTCTGATGATGCCTTACACCTGTTTAACTGCCTATTCAAATAGAATGTAAATGTTTAGAAAATGATGACAGCAACAGATGTACAAGTATGCGTGATATAACTGATGTACGGATTATTGTAAGAGCTGTAAGAGCCCCCAATAAAATGATCATTTTTTTAAAAAGTGCCTACATATGAGTAGTAGAATTTGGCAAGTTTCAAATCACTTTCATTCCCTTTGTTGACTGTGCATATTTTTACCCATAGCAGACATAGCTTGGTTTAGGAAGTGAAAAATAAAGTGGTGCTGTTACGGGGACTGCAAGGCGTCTGGGAGAGACCATTATCAAAGCCCCAGACAGGAAGCAGAGAAGTGTTCAGTTCACTCCTGCAGGCCCTTGCAGAAGGAAAGCAGCCAGGTTTCTCCTCAGAGCCGCTGCAGGGTTCCGTCTGTTAATATACAAGAAATGGGTTTGTTTTACAGTGATTACAGGAAGAGATTAGCAGGTTTTTACGATGTCACAGGATACAGTTGATCATCTAAGAAAGCAGGTTTTGCAATGATCATTAGGAAATTGTCTATACTGACATTTCTCCGGGGCCATTAGACCCTCATCCCCTGCAGCTTCATGCACCCTTGTTTAGCTAAACTGGGGTCTGACTTCTTATCTTCAGGACCTTCTTTGGGGCTTGGAACATCCCTGCTAATGAAGCTGAAAAGGAAGTTTTACTATAAGGGAAGGGGCCGTTATGTGTGGTGTTTTTAACAAAGTGAATCTTAAAGTATGTTATATTTCTCGTATACCAATTTAGCACCCCAACCCGACTCATAAAAATGAAACCCTAGTGGTACAGTGGCTAAGTGCTAGCGAACTGAAAGATAGGCCCGTGCCACCTACCCGCTGCTCTATGGGAGCAAGCTGTGGCAGTGTGCTTCCATAAAGGTTCACAGTCCGGGAAACGTTAAGGGTAGTTCTACTTTGTCACATGAGTGGAATGGACTCAGCAACAATGAGGTTGGCGTCGCTTAAAAAACATGGCTCAGCATCAGAATGGGGCTCATCCGTAAACCTAGGGAAGTGGGCAATAAGGAGTCTGAGATGAATAAGTGGACCGATCGACATGGCAGCCCCCGTTGAGTAGCTTTAGAGGAAATACCAATGCACAAGAGAAGGCCAAGAATGCCTTTCAAATAAACTTCTTGTTCAACCGTCAGATAGCGTTTCTACTTTCCAGCACTTCAGTGGCAGTCACAAGATGGAAGTAGCTCCTCCTGAGGCTTCCTTCTGTTCTCTACCCGCAAAAAGCCCCGTGAAGGGAAAGCAGACTTAGGAGTTTAACCACTTACTTAGCCAAGTAGTAAAAGCCACATGGCAGAGGAAGTTTAACTTTACAAGAAACGATACCACGCTCTTCTCCCCAGACCCCAAGGAGGAAAATCTTCATGCAAAGGTATTCATAGTTAGCATTTTGCCAGTCTCATTTATTGAGAGCCCCTGGAGTAAGCAACACATGCAAGTTCAAGCCCTTTTGAAGTACCTAACTTGTGCAGCTGGAAAGAAGAAAAGGAGAGGCAATAGGCACATGTCCAGGGATTGTCATGCAAAACCAGATCATGTTCTAACTGGAATTCACACACCGACCAAATAAGGATTTGAGTAGCCTTTTGATCACATAAAAACGAATTATGCCTTTTTTTCTTTTTTCAAACTTTTTCTTTCTTTTTTGGTTGTTTTGGTCTATGTTATTGTTGGGTTGCCTACTTATCTAAGAGAGGCATGGGAAGCAAGCCCGAGGAGAAAGCAACAGGATCCATGGATTGGGGTATACATGTCTACAGGGTCAGAAAACCTCATCTTTTTCCCACGGAGTGGGTTCAAATGGTTTGCAGCCCAACTTGTTACCCACTACACCAGCAGGGTTCAAAAGTACAGACTGAAGGTATAAACAATCTTTGTTACCAGTGAAAAAACCACAACACATACAAGTGTAAATTACGAAGCATTGCTACAAAATATGAAACCATTGTTCCTCCACATAACCTCCAGCTTGGTCTATACACTTCTGGTGGTGGTGTTTCCATCTCTCTGACCCTTCCCTGAAGAATTTTGTGCTCTTTTAACACGTAGCAAACAAATTTGATTTCTAGATTAAATCCCATCCCCACAGAAATCCTAGCAGGGTTTTCTGCGTGACAAGCTGATTCTAAATTTCCCAGGGAAACAAAGAGGCTACTCTCAATGCTACCTTGAAGAACAGCAAAGAGGAACTCTACCATGAGCTTCAAAGACTTATCCAATTACAGTAATGAAAACAACACGTTATTGATGTGAAGCTAAATAATCGATGTAACAGAATAATGAGTCCAAAATAAGAACCACCCACATATGGACGTTGGAATTATATGTCTTAAGCACTAAAAGCAGTAAGAGTTCTGTTTAAACAGATTGTGATACAGTAAAGATTTTGTTGAAAGAGAGCAACTTCATCTTGACTTTATTCTTCATGCAGACTCCCTCCATGTGGTAGGTAGAATGGCCACCAGGAGCCCAGATTCACAAACTTCCAGTTTAAGAAATTGAGCAGGAAGCACCAACATCTACCTAACATGGGGGCCCAGTGTTTGGATTGAATTGTGTCTCCTATAAATGTGTTATAAATCCTAATTTCCTCGATATCTGTGGTTAAGGAGGCCTGGCGGTGCTGTCAGATGAGCTATGAACTACTAATCCCAAGGTTGATTGCCAGAAGAAGCCAGCTCCTAGCACAATCACTACGGGTTTGGTAGGCGCAATTGTACAGCGATAATAAGTAAATATTATAGTAAAGTTATAGAGAGCATGAGAGATAAAAGAGATATATAGAAATAAATAGAGTCAGACACATTTCATGGTAGCATGCTCACCTCAGCCCCGCTTGGTAATCCACGTGGAGGGAGAGCGAACTTTAATGCTCCCCAAGCTTTTATACTCTCTCCGGACATTGGGGACGTGCAAGCCCCCACATTACAGGTGAAGACATAGGTCACAGGAAAGGGTTGTGCTACAGGTATTACAGTGATGGGAGGAGGTGATCTAGGGACATATGCACTACAGAAGGAGAAGGGATTGGGGGTGTACATGCGGCAAGATAGGCGGCAAGATAGGCGGCTCCTAGATTTCTGGTAACAGCTTGACTTGATTTTGGGTCTCTATAGGAACCATTATCAGTTAGGTGTGAACTCCGCCCACAGGAATCAAACTAATGGCCTTTGGCTCCAGAGAGAGGTAGTCTATTGTCTCCGGCAGCAGGGAGCAGGCCCAGCCCTGCTGTGGGATGAGACAGCAGTCTGGCAGCAAGGATCTGACTTCTCCCCACAGTTGATTCCAACCCACCAGCTGTCCCACGGGAGAAAGTTGAGGCTGTCTGCTCCCATAAAGAGTTACATCCTTGGAAACCCTGGAAAGGGCCACAGTGAGTCAGAATCAACGTGATGGCAGTGGATTTTGTTTCGTTTTCATGTACCCAAGGTTATAATCCAATTTGTGTCTGGGTTTTGTTATGTTAGAGACAGTATTAGCATAGGCTTTGCTTTAAATCAGTCTCTGGAGACATAATAGAGATTAAACAAGCAATGGAGCGAGCAGTGATGGGTAAAGCCAATGCTACTTGAAGATAACCGAGGAACCAAGGAATAGAAATTGAAGAGACAGGAAGTGTGTTTGCTGCATCTGGCTCATCATCCAACCTCTGGTCCTTGAGACTTGAGCCAGTGGCCTGCCGTACTGCCTGCTAATCCTGGGAGTTGGCAGTACCCTACCTATGTCTTACCCGCCAACCTCGGATTCATTTACCTCTGCAGCCAGAGTCTGCTCTCTGAAATGCTGATCATGGGTTCATCAGCTGCTCCACGTGCACAAGTCAAGAGAAGCTTCCAGCCTGACATCGGACCCAAACTTGTCCACCTGCAATACTGTGTGGGATCCATTCTCTTGGTATCTCTCATATATAAATATATATAGATACATTGGTGGATTTTCTTTTCTAGAGAACCCAGCCTAAGACACACACCACATACTTTGCTCTTTTTAAGAGCTCTGAAAATGGGCAAATCTGTTTCCTGAGTTCATAGGCACTCTCAGCATTGGCAGGTATGCATTTCAGTCACCCCTCCCCTCTGATGCATTAACAGCCCTGGACATTCCCAGATGCCAACTACCCTGGCCATGCCTCAGTGCTTCCTGAACAGAAACTATCAGCCCTTCTATCTAGGCCTGATTTTCTGACTTTCATTTATACTGCTACTCCTCGAGCCTGTACACCCAGAGTGTCATCTGGGCAAACTGTTGAATGAAGACAGAAATGGCAGAGAATTGGTTTATTTATTTATTCATTTATTAAAATCTCATTTTATTGGGGGCTCTTACAGCTATTATAACAATCCACACATCCATGATATTAAGCACTTTTATACCATATGTTGCCATCATTATTTTGTAGATATTTATTTTTTATTGAGCCCTTGGGGTCAGTTCCTCTTCCCTCCCCTCTACCCTCCTGGCCCCTTGATAGATTATAAATTAATATTTTCATATCTTACACTGACCACTATCTCTCTTCCCCCAAAGTTTCTGTTGTTTGTCCCCTGTGTGCGGGGAGCGGGGGTGGTTTGGTTATGTGTCGATCATCCCAATCAATTCCCCCTTCCTCGCCTGCTCTCTCCACCTTCTCCCTGCTCTCCTAGTATAGCTACTCCCATTCCTGTTCCTGGATTCCATGTGTCGTGAGTTCTTAGGTCTTTTTTTTTCTGAGTTCAAGTTTAATACAACTACAAAAGATCAATGGGTTTATGCCCCGCTACTAGTACATGATACACATCAGCTGCCCTGCCCAAAACAGCTCAGGGTCATTTTCACTGCGGTGTAGAAAGACGGCCCCTCCCCAGCCCCTACAAAAAAAGCCTATCATATTATCAAATACCATGTTCTCAGTAGAGTCTAAGGCCTTATGTTTGAAACATGAAGAAGAATACAAAAGAGGTTTTGTTTGTTTTTCTCAGGGCTACTCATTGCAGCCTAGCACTGAAATGGTCCAGCGCTCACTTCTGCTTGGTGAAATACTCTCTGCTCTTCTGGATATCAGGCTTGATAGTATCACTGCCAGGCTTCCAACCAGCTGGACACACTTCTCCATGTTCATCCGTGAGCTGGAAGGCCTGAACCAGTCTTAGGGTCTCATCCACAGAGCGGCCAACAGGGAGGTCATTTACAGTGATCTGCCTAAGGATTCCTTGATCATCGATGATGAAGAGGCCCCTAAACGAGATGCCGTCATCCACCTTTAAGACCCCATAGTCCTGATCAATGGTGCGCTTGGGGTCTGATACCAAAGGAATGTTCATAGGCCCTAGGCCTCCTTCTTTCTTGGGTGTGTTGATCCAAGCCAGATGGCAGAAGTGAGAATCCACAGAAGCACCAATCACTTGGCAGTTGAGTTTCTTAAATTCTTCTGCCCTGTCACTGAAAGCAATGATCTCCGTAGGGCACACGAAGGTGCAGTCAAGAGGGTAAAAAAAGAACACTATGTATTTTCCTTTGTAGTCAGTCAGGTTGATATCTTTAAACTGACCATGAGGCATAACAGCTGTAGCTTTGAAGTTGGGGGCAGGGTGCCCAATTTTTGCAGTTCCTGAAGACATCTTGTTAACAGCGGGGGTGCACTGAAGGAGTGAGCACCAGTCTGCAGCCAGAAAGAGAGCGTGGAGTTCTTAGGTCTTATTCATACCTGTGCACATGCTCCGGTCTACCCCACAGTGAAAGGCAGTACTGGGGTCAGGATAGTGAGGGGTGAGGAAGCCTCAAGGAACCAGAGTAGTATTGTGTGTTTCATCGGTGCTTTACTACACTCTGATTGACTCATCCCTTCCCTATGACACCTCTGTGAGGAGATGTCCCATTGTCTGCAGATGGGCTTTGGGTCTCTGCTCTGACCCCCTTCATTCTCAACAACATGGTTTTATTGTTTTGGGTCTTCTGATGTCTGTTAGCCTGTCCCATCGATACCTCATGATCGCACAGGCTGGTGTGCTTCTTCCATGTGGGCTTGTTGTTTCTCTGCTAGATGGCCACTTGTTTACCTTCAAGCCTTTAAGACCCCACACACTATATCTTTTAATAGCTGGGCACCATCAGCTTTCTTCACCACATTTGCT